AGTTGTTGGGAGGGAAAATGGCCCAGAAACAAGCAAATAAAGCCACTCCTCACTGGCAATGTGGTTGGGTTCCAGAGAGCAGGTCATGATGCAAAGATCGGCATTATGGAAAAACAGGATGATGTCATTATGTAACTGCCAAATTACATCATTATGCAACTGCCAAACCATTGAGAATCATGGCCCAGCGAAGTTACCACGCACCCTTAACAGCCAGTGTTAATCTCGCCTTGGTGTCCGTTACTGCCAGGTGCACATTGTTGATGCACAAAGTAGTCAGATGGTAGGTTTTTTACTATTAGCATAAATGGGAGACGTCAGGTAACAGGGTAGTTGTTTGGTAAGGACCAGGTGTACAAGAATCTATACACTGACCTCAGAGAGGACGGAGTCGCCATCAGATGACACTGAATGGCTAGTTAGAAAAACACCTCCTTACCCAGACCTCCAAAGTAGTTCCAAACGGATCAATACACAGAAGCATTGGAAGAGAACAGAGGTGCCCTTTTAGAGTTGAGGAATACCTTCCTGGGCAAAAACTCCTTTTAAAAAGTTGTGGCTGTCGTTGTAGGATTAAGACTGTCTGTCCCCAGACACCACAAGCCCTTTTACTGGAACGAACGTGCTGCTTCACAGGCCTGAGCGTGAACACAGTCACAGCTCCTTGCTGCTTCTTGTTGCAGCTGAATGTCAGCAGAGGGCCCCACTTGCCAGATTTTCAGGAATTCTACTGTCTTCCCCCTTGTCCCTCCTTGATTTGCCCTAGTACTGCTTAGGGAAGGCTTAGGAAAGGCTTTCTGTGGCCGGAATGGTAGCCTGAGCTTGTCTTACACCGGGGTGAATGCCAATGTGTCTGCAGGCCATGACATGTACACACACACAGCTCATTGAGGCTGGGGGAGGGGAGTAGGTGGTTGTAGGGGACCAGGCCTCCTGTGAAGGGTGAAGCACTTCATTTCTCGTTGGTCAGCCCCATACGTAGCCATCCGTTTCCCAGGGGTGCGGTATCAAAGATGGGTCCCATGTAGCCTGTCACAAATGAGGAAGTGGCTTCCTCTTTAGGGCATTCTTTCTAGACATTTCACTAATACCGTTTCCCTGTCTCTTAGTTGCGGGGGGCTGTTCATCCCTCTTCCTCAACTCAGCTGTCTTCCCACTCAACTGCTACTAAGGTGATTTTCCACTAGAACAAAAGAAAAAAATGAGCCTAGGGTTTTGATTAACTTTCTTTCTCACGCTGATGGTTTCTTCCAGGAATGGAAAATGATGACAGTGCCGTTCAGTATGCAATCGGCCGTTCAGACACGGTTGCCCCTGGCACAGGGATTGACCTGGAGTTTGACGCAGATGTCCAGACCATGTCTCCAGAGGCTTCAGAGTACGAAACATGCTACGTCACATCCCATAAAGGACCCTGCCGGGTCGCCACCTACAGTAGAGATGGGCAGTTGATAGCGACTGGGTCAGCTGACGCCTCCATAAAGATCCTCGACACAGAAAGGATGTTGGCCAAGAGTGCCATGCCCATAGAGGTAAGCATCCCGGTAGCAGGCAGGCTCTGTGCTTTTTGCTGTTCATCCGTGGGTCCGATGGGAGGGTGGCGTGGGCCAGCTTTTCCTTTTCAGGGTTCTTGGTAGTGTGCTTCGAGCTGGTGGGGTTTATGTGTTAAGCATCCCTTTTCTTGTTGGTCTAGGTCATGATGAATGAGACTGCACAGCAGAATATGGAAAACCACCCAGTGATTCGAACCCTCTACGACCACGTGGATGAGGTCACATGTCTTGCTTTCCACCCGACAGAGCAGATCCTGGCCTCTGGTTCAAGGGATTACACTCTCAAACTGTTCGATTACTCCAAACCGTCTGCAAAGAGAGCCTTCAAATACATTCAGGTTAGAGTCTGGCGTTAGGGAAGGAGCTGCACTTTTTGTCTTAACTGCAGGGAGCTATTGGTGACTGTTCTTTGCTAAAAGCATCCCAGTGATCATCCTGTAAAACAAGGACAGTGACGAGGAGATGTGTCACAGGTGGCATGTGGCCAAGACGCCAGCTGCCTCTGGCCAGCCAGGACTCAGTAGTCACATTTCATGTGATGGGGGGTCAGGGCCCATAGCACTGTTTAAAGATTGTAAATCCCATTAAAAACAAAATAGCCAGTTCTGCTAAAGTGTATATAACCTGTCAGAGTCAAAAAGTTACTCACTCGAAACACATGTTTGCTGGGAAAGTGTCATCGAGTACCCTATTTTGAATATGTAGTACAGAAATACTAATATTTTAGTGGTGGTTTCCACTTATGATTTAATTTTTCACTGAGTATTCGGAAAAGAGCCCTGGCGGTATAGTGATTAAGTGCTCTGTTACAAACCAAAAGGTCAGTGGTTTGAACCCACCAGCCACTCTGCAGGAGAAAGATGAGGCAGTCTGTTTCTGTAAAGATTACAGCCTTGGAAGCCCTATGGGGCAGTTCTGCCCTGTCCTACAGGGTTGCTATGAGTCAGAATCAACTCAGCGGCAATGGGTTTGGTTTTAAGTTGTTTCTTCTACTTTGGTAATTAAATGTAAGTTTTACTCCATTTTTGGGGTCCTGGGGCAAGTTAAAGCAGCAGCCGTGTACAGGTTTTACGTTTGTTCAGTCGCCCAGCATGAGTGCTGCTGATTGTCATCGGGGCACGTGGGTAGCCCGTCCTGAGTTTACCCAACGTCACGTGCAAATAGCGAAGATGCTGCCTGTGGTTTTCGAAATTATCTCACCAGTAAATGTGTAGTTTGGAAAATTTCTATTTAAAAGGTTATCCATTGGTTGCAAGGAGTGTTTTAGTTCCCTCTCACATCACCAGTACTTGACCGTTGGTTAAGGGACTTCCACATTGCCTCTGGGTTCTGGTGTCCACCAGTCGGTCACCTGTGCCAATGTCTGTCCCAACAGGAAGCAGAGATGCTGCGTTCCATCTCCTTCCACCCGTCTGGAGATTTCATCCTTGTTGGGACGCAACACCCTACTCTTCGGCTTTACGACATCAACACGTTTCAGTGTTTCGTCTCCTGTAATCCCCAAGACCAGCACACAGATGCCATATGTTCTGTCAACTACAACCCTAGCGCCAACATGTATGTGACTGGCAGCAAGGATGGCTGCATCAAATTATGGGACGGTGTCTCCAATCGCTGCATCACGACTTTCGAGAAGGCCCACGATGGTGCAGAAGTGTGTTCTGCCATTTTTTCAAAAAATTCTAAGTACATTCTCTCCAGTGGAAAAGACTCTGTAGCCAAACTCTGGGAAATCTCGACAGGCCGTACACTGGTCAGGTACACAGGTATGTGACACCCTGGGTTACCCGGCATTCATGGGGCATTTCACAGTTCCCAGGACCCTTAGATGCTCACGAGAGACCAACCAGTCAGTCTGTGAGCTTGGGGTAAGAGAAAGCCGCAGCTTAGCGGTTAAATAATTTGGCTCAGGCTGCACTTAGGAGGAGGCAGGCCTGGAAATAACACCGCCGTTTCCTGCCTCTGCTCGTTGCAATAGGTCACCGCTCAGGGTGGACTGGGTTCCGTGGGAGTCCTGGAAGGAACCTGGCAGTCTTTGTGTGCCCACAGAAGTGTAAGCGCAGTCCAGAGAAAGGCTCAGGGCGTCTCGGGGAGGCCGCAGTCTGGGAAGGGGGAGCCGGAAGGGAAGGTCGTGGTCTGTTTCTAAGAGGGCAGAGGTGGCCTACAAAATGAGACCAGAGGGTTGGGCGCTTAGACAGACAGCGGACCCCTCAGACCAAAGCCAGGTTGAATTTCATTCATTCATGGGGTGTCCTGAGAAAGAGCCTGTGAGGCCTCTTTCTGGTGACATCTGTGTAAATCTGTCCTGGCGCTGGCAGTGCCTGTCCAGTTAGCACCAGTGAAAGCGTCATGCCGCTTCTGCTCCTGAAGCAGCAAAGACCAGTGTTTGGTGTGAAAAACAAGGAAGCGTCAGCATTGCCCAGTTGCCTGTGTGTTAAGAAATGTTTGTGTCACACACTAACGTTGCCATGACTGTCTCTCAAGAAATTCACAAGAAAACGGCACAGTTACGGAGGATCTGCTGTGCCGGGGACTGCCCTGGTGACAACCTAGAGAAGAGAATGGCAGGTTTGTGCCATTGAAACCGCTTGGGTGGGGCGTAACCTGCCCTACGTCTGTCTGTGACCAGGGTTGGCTTCGGGACATCTTTCTGGCGCCCAGTGTATGCACTACCACTACTAGGTCTTACTGAGAGCCGTTTTCCTCATAATTCTTAGTGACTTGAGTGAAATGCTTTGGTATGCAGCTATTTTGAAAATAATCTCTACTCATCACTATTAGAGACCTGTGTGCTCATTGCAAAACGAAGGGACAAACGTGACCAAAGTGAAAATGCAAAGCCCCCTTCAGATGTGGCCACCAGTGGCCTGAAAGACCAGGGGATGTCCAGACAGACCACAGCAAGCCCCTGTCAGTTGCTTGTAACCACCATTCTGTCGTGTGAGTGTTCAGAATGTTCGATGTGACACGTGTTGACTGGTTGGTTCTGGCAGAGAACCGCAGTTTGCTTTTTCCAAATGACGTGATGATGGACGTTGTACGCAGATACTCTGGTTTATTTTATTTCATTTTTTTTTTCCATGTTAAGACCCTTTCATGTCAGCATGTTGAGATCTGTGTTTCCAGTTTAATGTTCCATTAGAATTCAGGGAGTTCTTGAAATAAGGGAAAGGAAGAACTTTTCAAAGAAAATATTTAAAATATTGACATTAAAAAATTAAAGCACTGCACAGAGTGCTAGTCTGGAGGGAAGAAATGCACAGCACGTACCATAGATGAGGAGTCCACTGTACGTACCATGCTGGTGCTCAGCCGCTGACCTGAAGGTTGGTGGTTTGAATCAACCAGCCACTCCACGGGAGAAGGATGCAGTCTGCTTCCGTAGAGATTACATCCAAGGAAACCCTGTGGGCATTTACTCCGGCCTATGGGAGCTCTGGTGGCGTAGTGCCTAAAGCATTTGACTGCTAACCAGAAGGCTTGCAGTTCAAACTCACCAGCCACTCCTCGGAAGGAAGATTGGACACCCCAAGGAGGGAGGGGTCGCTATGAGTCGGAATTGACTCAACAGCAGTGAGTTTGGTGGTGGTTGTTGTTGTTGTTATGGGGTCACTGCAGTTGGAATCAACTCAGTGACAACAAGTTTGGTTTTGGGTATATAATAAACATGGGTCAGACACTGGGTTAATGTCTTTGTAAAGAGGCCTTATAAATAAAAGAAGCCCAGGTTTTACAGAAAAGTGGACAAAGAACATTCATTTTACAGAAGAAATTTAAATGGTTGGTAACCAGAAGACGTCCAGCCTCACTATGCACCTAGAAAATGAAAGTGGAAGTCTTTTTTGCTGGTAAGATTTCAGGAGTTAAGATTGATAATATACGATATTCATAACGATTTGGGGAAAATATATATATATTTTATTGGTGGGAGTGTCAATTGGTAAAATATTTCTAAAGAATAGTTTATTAGCATCTTCCAAAATTTTAAATACATATATTTTTGTCCCACTGTATCCCATCTTAGAAATTCAAGCTATCATAACTGGACAAGGTGGTGGTCAGGTGTTTCATGTTGTCACTTACACAGCCTGTGGGGTTGGTGCTTAGCTGTGTCTGCTGAACAGATGGCATATACACGTAACAGGAGGCTCATCAGTGTTTCCTGGGGTCGTCAGAAATTAGAAACCATATAGATGTCCATGAATTATCACGGAGTAAATCTGTTACATGCACCCAATCGCAGGAAGTCAGTAATCATTGTAGCCTTTACTGAGTGCTTATTCTGCAGAGCTGTGTAAGCTCTGTGGTGGTGGTGGCAGTCCAGTCGGTTCTGACTCATGGTGACGTCACCCTTGTGTCCATATAGGATTGCTGCCCATAGACTTTGAGGCCATCACCTCTCAGAAGCACATCTTCAGGCCTGCCTTCTGAAGCACCTCTGGGTGGGTTCACACCACCGACCTTTGGGCCAGTGGGGTAGGTGCTTAATTATACCCACTGAATAGATGAGAACGTTAAGGCTTAGGGACGTTAAGTAGTTTACCCAAGGCTGCTTCACTAGTAAGGACTGGATCCGGATCTGACACCAGAAGTTGGTGCTTCCAGCCAGTAAGTGGTACGTCTGTAAGGTCATCACTACACGTTACTGAATAGAAACCCCGTGTGACGTGTGCTCTGATGTAAGTGATTTTATGCATGGGTGCACAGCTTCCAGAGATTGGACTTAAAGGATTTTCTCCAGAATGCTGAGACTGGTTACCTCTAGGTGGTGGCAAGATGATCGGGGGGAGCTTTTTATACTCTATATAACACTGGAAACATAAAATACTTATTTTCTTTTGGTCCTAAAAAATAGGATAAAGCTTCCTTTTGGAGCTGTCCATACTCCTTGTCTCCATAATTCTGTTCCTAGGATTTAATTCTAAGAAAATGAAGCCTTCAGTACAAAGGATGTCTATCATGGAGTCACTTAATGATGAATACAACTGAAATGCCTAGCAATAAAATAGGTAATGGTGCGTCCAAACAGTGAGATACTTGGCAGCCAATAAGAAAACATGGGAAAATTACCAAACATAAAGTTGGTTTCAGGCATCATAGGAAAATTATATAACGTGACACCAGTTAGTATTTTCAAAGCAGCCTGTTTTTAGGCGTAGATGTATGTTGCAGCGTTAACGGTGTTGTCCTTAGGTAGTGGACCTAAATGTGAGTCCTTTTTTATACTTCTTTAGTGTTTCCAGGATTGCACAGTAAGTGTGCGTGACCGGGACAGTGCTGTCGTCATCTGTCTGTGGCAAGCTTGCTCTCGCTCGGCCCGCAGCCCCTCACCTCCCGTTTTCTGTGCAGGTGCCGGGCTGAGCGGACGGCAGGTGCACAGGACACAGGCGGTCTTCAACCACACTGAGGACTACGTGCTGCTGCCGGACGAGAGGACCATCAGCCTGTGCTGCTGGGACTCGCGCACGGCCGAGCGCCGGAACCTGCTCTCGCTGGGGCACAACAACATTGTGCGCTGCATCGTGCACTCACCCACCAACCCCGGCTTCATGACCTGCAGCGACGACTTCCGGGCACGGTTCTGGTACCGCAGGTCCACCACCGACTGAGCAGGGCTCCTCTCTCGGGACTCTGCCCCGCCCTGGCCGGCCCCACCGGCCTGCACCATAAGTCACTGCCCCGCCTTGGCGGGTTAGCTGCCACCTTCAGCTGCCCTGGATTTTTACAAAAGAACCTTTTGTACCTTGATGGCGAATCATGGTGGCAAAGGCCGGAAGCGTGGATCTGTGCAGTTGCCCCACATTCACTGGTGATCCCAGTTTCATCGGTTCTGTGAGTGCAGGACTCGCCACTTGTCTTAAATCAGTACCTCGATCATTTGCAGAGGGAGGGAGTGGTACTGCGGTGCCTTCTCGATCTCAGATGGCTCTGTCAGGAGAACTGGCCTGGGGTCACTTAGCTTATGTACCAGTGTGGCCACGCCCTCTTCTGTGTACTTACTTCCTTTCAGAATACAGTTTGGTGGATGCGTAGTCCTACAGCTGAGAATCAAGGGGTTGGTGCCATATTGAAACCATGACAGATAAGATACCACTTCTGCCCTGACATGACATCATTCTGATAATAAAAGCTCAGATTTGCGACTTTAGTGTGACATGTTTTTTACTTCAATAAAATTAACGGCCGGTTATTTCCTGAAGATTTCGAGATAAATCCTTCATCATAACCTCCCACGTTATCCTTCCATTAC